GGGAATTGGGGCTGTTGGAGAGGTGGCCACAAGGTGGCAGGTGTACTCCATAGCTTTATTTAGGTGATGCTTTGACAGGCTTGCATGTGGGACAGTCCTTCACAGCATGAGACCCTGGGACACCACCCAGCAGGGGAAGGGGTGAGAGGGAACTTGTGTCCAGGTGGCATTGCTCCACTTGGCCTTCAGGGTCTTTTAGAGCCCAGGGCTTGCTCTGGCAGGGGTTGCTCTGGCAGGGGTTGGGTGCTGTTTTGGGGGGTTTGTAAAGGAAGCAGGCTCTGGTTGACAAAAAGTTTGCTTATTTGGGTGATATTTAAAGCTATGTAAGAATTTGTGCCTGGTGTTGGCAGCCTGTGTGAAGGTACACAGGGTAGGGCCAGTGCACAGTGGTTCCCTTAGGTGGCATGGGCGCTGACATGAGACAGAGGAGGTGCTAGGCTGAGGAGAGGTGGGTGAGGAAGTGTTGCAGATGGTGGCCCAGCATTGAGGGGGAGTGGCTACCCTGGGAATCTATCTATCTCAGAGCTCACAGCCCCTACACACTGGTGTCTTCCAGGAGGCTCCACGCTGTTTGTCGAGACATCCCCAAGGCGGCCTCAGGAGAAGAACAGCAAGGACAAGGACGGGAGCCTGGAGGTGACAGGCCAGCTGGGGGAGGTGATGAAGGAGAGTGCCCGCATTGCCTACACTTTTGCCAGGGCCTTCCTGATGCGGCATGACCCCACCAATGAGTACCTGGTGACTTCACACATCCACCTGCATGTGCCAGAGGTGAGCCACAGTGCCCACCCACCCACCCACCCACGCAGCCTTGCATTGGGCCTACCATCCACCTGCCTCTCCCCACCAGGGCGCCACTCCCAAGGATGGGCCGAGTGCTGGCTGCACCATCGTCACAGCACTGCTGTCACTGGCCATGGACAGGCCGGTGCGGCAGAACCTGGCCATGACGGGGGAGGTCTCCCTCACAGGCAAGATCCTGCCAGTGGGCGGCATCAAAGAGAAAACCATTGCGGTGAGTGCTTTTCCCTTCCCCGCCCTCCACTGCCATATAGTCCTTGGACAGGTAAGGCACAGCAGACCATCTAATGGCCCGTTTTATAGTGGGCATGGGATTTGGACCTAGAGCCCATCTTGAACTGTTCTAGGTGTCTCTATACATAGGACCCCCCCCCCCCCCCCATGAACTCCTCAGTGACTTTGTGGGCTCCTTGAGGAATGGGGCAGCTTCATTGCTCACGTGGCCTGGCACTGAGAACCTTGGGCAGGCCCCTCATCCCCTCCCCCGCGTCCAACTCCTGGCAGAGCCCCACTGCCCTGACTAGTATAGATTGGGCCAGGACTGTAAGACTCAAAAAATTTGAAGTTTTGCCTACATTTTCAAAATTACGTTTTTCTCCAGCTGTCATTGCATTTTTAGGAACCTTTTTTCCAGCAAGGGTCATTTGGATATCTATAGCATCCTTTGCGGGCCATAACAAATTATCCACTTAAAAATTAACCTGTGCCCTAACCGGTTTGGCTCAGTGGATAGAGCCTTGGCCTGCGGACTCGAGGGTCCCAGGTTCGATTCCGGTCAAGGGCATGTACCTTGGTTGCGGGCACATCCCCAGTGGGAGGTGTGCAGGAGGCAGCTGGTCAATGTTTCTCTCTCATTGATGTTTCTAACTCTCTCCCTTCCTCTTTGTAAAAAATCAATAAAATATATTTAAAAAAATATATATATATATTTAAAAAAAAAAATTAGCCTGCTACACTTGGTCAGACTCAACCCTAATGCCTTGGCAGGGCCAGACCAGATCTCTTGAGCCTTAGCCTGACATTCCCCACCCGTTCTAAAGGTAAAGCAATGGATGCTGATTCACACACAAGGCTGGGCAGTCATTTGTGGTGGACTCTGAGGGAGCCACACTCCAAGATCAGCCCTAGGCTTCTTCAGAAACCAGTGCCCCTATCTGAGCACTGGGTCTGGGCTACCATGAACTGGAGCCCCACCAAGTCCTCCCCCTCCTGGACTAACCCAGTGTCCCCTGCATCCTAGGCCAAGCGTGCTGGAGTGACATGCATCATCCTGCCAGCAGAAAACAAGAAGGACTTCTGCGATCTAGCTGATTTCATCACCGAAGGCCTGGAGGTCCATTTTGTGGAGCACTATTGTGAGATCTTTGACATCGCCTTCCCCAAGGAGCAGGCGGAGGCCCTGGCTGTGGAGCGGTGATGGTGGCCTAGGCACTGCAGGTGCTGATAGGCCCATTCTGAGCTGAAACTGCACTGGGGGGAAGGGGCTCTGGGAAGTTGAGCCAGGACTCAGCAAGTGGCCCAGAACCCAAGGCCCTCAATTACAACTTAATCATGGAATCTGACATATATGAACTATTTAATTATGATTAAAGACCATTTCTAGTACTACCTGTGTCTTCTGTGTCTACCATATGGACCAGCTTCAATGTCAGCACAGGAGCCCCAGGTTTCTGAACAAGTTTTATTACAGACAGGGAGGGGCTGGGGCTCAGTCCTTCTTGGCTGCTGCCTTCCTCATGGCCGCAAGGACATTGCTCAGCTCCTCTCTCTTCCTCTTGGCTCGAATGTGTGTCCCCACCTGCAAGCAAGGTGGGCCATCAGCCTGGGGCCCAATCCCACCCTCTGTCCCTCTGGGCACACATGTGTTTCCACCTGCCTGGCAAGAGGCCAAATGCTTCCACCCAATCCCACCCCCACCAACTGCCCACCTACCCTTTTCTTGATGAATTTCAGGGCCCTCTTGTCCTTAGAGACCTTGAGCAGCTCCATGGCGCGCCGCTCATAGGGGGCAAAGCCGCACACCTCTCGGATCATGTCCCGAACGAACTTGGTGTGCTTGGTGAGGCGCTGGGGGTGAGGAAGGCCATCAGGACGAAGCGCTCCAGACCCAGACCCTTAGGGTCATGTCTGGGCCTCAGCGGGAGCATTCTGTCTGGTGCAACGGAAGCAGGAATCCTCCCCATCCCCCCAATGTCACCAACACAGCAAGTCATGCCTGGTCCTTTCCACAGGCTGCCATGCAGAGTTGGGGCTACTCAATAAAGTGTGGATAAAAAAGGGGCCCTGAAACCAACACAAGTCTTGCTCAGCAAAGTCTTTAGTTATGAGCAAGTCTTTGTGGGTAGTCTGCTAACCGCTGTGGTGAAAGGTGTTCAAGCAAACCCTGCCCGCTGTGCTTGGGCACCTAGGCGAACACCTCTGATGGCAATGCCAGAGTAATCCATACCCCTCGAGGGGGTGACCGCCCTCAAGAGCACAGTCTTAACGATCCTGCTTTCTTCCGTAAATTCCCTCAACTTCAAATGCATTAAATAAGTGGCAGACTGTTAACCTCGGGGGAAATTTTAGATCTTGCTTCCAGGCAATGGTCAGTTTGGCTCAAATAAACTCATGAAAATTCCCTACAGGTGTGGACGTTTCTTAGGTGGTCGGAGGCCCATAAGCCCTGACCTGCCCGAAACGCCCCAACCCGACACTGAAAAGCATCAGCTGGCCAACCCCACGCGACGCCCACTCTAGTGGGCAAACCGCTTCTGTCAAACCCGCCCCACCTGCCCCCGCTTCCACCCCGCGGGCCGGAGGGTCGTGGTGTATGGCCCGGCCGGGCGTTCGCCGGGCAGACAGACATAGGGACTTCACTCACTGCTCTGGCCGGCCCGGCACCCACTTTCTGCCGCTCAGCCCACCGCGGGCTCCCCGCTCCTCTCGGCAGCCTGGAGCCTGTGCCCTGGCCGCGCCCTCCGCCCGGGAAGCCCTTCCCACCTCCCGACCCGCAGCAACCCGAGCGCGCGCCTCCGAACTCACCCCGCGGCGGCGGCTGTGCCTCGGCTTGCTCACGTTCTTGGTCACCTTGTGGCCCTTGTTGAGGCCCACGGCCATGGGGTAGCGCAGAGCCATGGCTGCGGACAAGGGGGAGAGGTAAGTCCCGGCTCGGCCTCTGCTGCCCAGAGCGCAGCGTCCCGGCGCCCCCGCAGTCGCTCGCTACACCCAGCCATTCCCCCAAGCCGCACCGGAGGCCCTGGGGTACGGATGGCGGCGGATCCCCCCAGCACCGAGATGAACTAACCTGCTGCTCCTCAATGGCTGCCGCGGCGGAAGGGCTGGCGGAGCGCGGAACTCTGGGATATCTATTCCTCACGGGTTGCGCGGGCCAGAGGCAGGGATACTGCGAGCGCCCCCTGGCGGCTGGAGGATTTCCTGCGGTCTCGTGAGCATGCGCATTTACCCCAGCTGGCCCTAGTGAGGGGTCGGAGTTGGTGGGCGTGCCTATGGCAATGGTGCCTCCCTATTCCGGGGGGTGGAAAGTTCGAATCTCACCTCTGCTGGGTGAAATCACATCTCAGCCGCTAGCTGGCGCCAGGGACTTCAATCTCACAATACCTGAATTTCTCTATTTACAAAATAAGGGCAATAATAGGGCATATTCCAAACCAGGGGTCCTCAAACTACGGCCCGCGGACCACATGCGCCCCGCAGAAAACATTTGTTTTTTTACTTCAAAATAAGATATGTGCAGTGTGCATAGGAATTTGTTCATAGTTTTTTTTTTTTAAACTATAGTCCGGCCCTCCAACGGTCTGACAGTGAACTGGCCCCCTGTTTAAAAAGTTTGAGGACCCCTGTTCCAAACTGAACGAGATGTAATGGTACCTGACACAAAATAAAACTTCCATAAATGAAGGCATTTTATATGAGGCCAACCTTTGAGTTAGGGCTAAGGAAGGCGATGTGGTATAGTGCCCGTTGGTGGCATTTGAGGTGAATCGATTTTTTTTTAATATATATATTTTATTGATTTTTTACAAAGGAAGGAAGAGGGATAGAGAGTTAGAAACATCGATGAGAGAGAAACATCGATCAGCTGCCTCCTGCACACTCCCCACTGGGCATGTGCCCGCAACCAAGGTACATGCCCTTGACCGGAATCGAACCTGGGACCTTTCAGTCCACAGGCCGACGCTCTATCTGCTGAGCCAAACCGGTCAGGGCGTGAATCGATTTTATTTTAGGTGACGCAGAGATGAGAGGCATGATAAGAACAAAAAAATTTTTTTTTCTGTTTTTTCTCTTTCAATCCTAATGTTAAGTGTGTAGTCCTTGATGCACGTTAGTATTATCCATGCACAAACCATGTATTTTGTGTGGCAAATGCCTTTGGTCCACCATCAGTACCCTTCCTACTGCCCGGACTTGCTTGGTGAGCCCCCCTCCCGTCTCCCAGCCTGTTTCTCCACCTGTGAGATGGGGTTGAGAGCTCTAGTGCACACACTCTTCCCTGCCTGCTGGAAGGACCAAGACATTTGAACAACAGATGTGCAAGGGGAAAAGGATTTTTATTATGAAAAGGGAGGCGGGTACAGAGCAAAACACATTCCTTCCCTTCTCCCCCTCTTTGGACCCTACCATTGGATAGATGGTTTTGTGGCTCTCTTTTGCTCAGGGCAAGGAGTGGAAAGAACAAATCAGGTGGTTCCCAGGGAGCCCCTAGGGCCGGCTCTCCACATCACCTCTCTAGCCTTAGTTTCCCCATCAGCGCAATGGAAGCAGCAATCACATCAACAATGACTACGGAGAAGACTGAGCTAATGCCTTCCAGGCCCCTGACAAGGTACTGGCGTCTGTGAGCCAGAGATTTCATTGCTTCCGGGTGCTAATGGTTTTTCTGGTTTCCCTTCCTGTATTGATGATGCTGTCTTGGGTCATGGCCGCCCTCTCAAAGGCGTCTGTTTGTGTCCCACCTTCAGGCGGCTGGGGGAAGGGTCCTCTCTGAGAAGATGGAGGAGCTCAGGCCGCAGCAGTGGCAGTGACATTGAGCTCCTGGCGGACGAACCAGGCCCTTGGGTGAGGCAGCCAGGCCCGGAGAAGGCAGAGGACGTGGAAGCGCCACGGGTAGAAGACGTGGGAGACCCGCGTGGCACCGCCCCGGATCACAGCCAGGGCTGCCTTGGGCCCCGGGGCCGCCTGGGCCCTGGTGACACCCCTGGGGACAGGAGTGCTTGGTGCGGACTGGGCTGGGCTGGGTGGCCCCCCACAGGCCCCGGTTCCCGCCCCTGGTCTTACCTGACTCCCTCCTTCGCTGAGGCGCGATCCTGGAGGCCCAGGACGCACCTGGTGATGGCCACGTTCACATCCTGCACACGCAGCTCCCGCTGCAGGGCGCCAAAGAAACTGTCCAGCGCGAACTTGGCCGCGGAATAGGGGCTGGAGAAGGACGCGGGCACACGGCCTGGGGGGGCGGGAGGGTAGCCGCTGAGCTGCCACACGCTGCGCCCCCTTCTCGAGGTCACCTTCCAGCCCCATCCAGGCTCTCCCCTCTCCCCGCCCCGCGTCACGCACCGAGCAGCGAGGACACCACCACCAGGGAGCCCTTGCTGTCCGTCAGGCTGGGCAGCGCCAAGGAAGTCAGTTGCACGTAACTCAGGAGGTTCACCTGGAGGCGGCGACGGGGAGTCAGGCCGCAGGCTCAGAAGGTGGAGGCCGGGGCTGGTCGGGGTGGGCGGAGCCAAGGCCTAGCGAGGTGGAGCCTGGAAGCAGGAGGGCAGGGGTGGGGGCAGGAGCCCAAAGGGGGGTGGGGGGGGTGGAGAGGATGGAGCCTGGGAGGGAAGGGCTAGAGTGCCAGCAGTGTGAGGAGCCACAGTGGAAACGGGGTGAAACCAGCAAACTTAGAGACGGGACCTGGGGACAGGAGGGATGGCGCACCCGCCCGGAGGTGGGAGGCAGATTCGAGCAGGGGCGGAGCACCTGCATGAGCCAGCGGGTCCCTGGGGCGCTGTGGGCCCGTGTGCCGGCGGGGGCAGCCCCGAGGTGGTTCAGCACGAGGTAGTCCAGGCCGCCTGTCCGGGAGAGGCCCATCAGCGAGATGCTAGTCCTGAGGCTCCACCCCCGGGACTCCTCCCGAGCCCCGCCTCCTAAACTCTCAAACTCCACCCAGAGCGTGGATCCCAGGAGTACCGCCCTCGGTAGAGCCCCTTCTCCCCCGAGATTAAAGAGACGCCCCCGACTCCCCGGATCCTGACAGGCTACAGGCTACGTCCCTAATCCAATGGAGCTCCCCAGATGCAAGGAGGCTCCACCCCTGGTTACGCCCCAGAACCGTATAAATTTCCACCCATTACTACCACACCCCCCACGCCAATTCCGGTCCTGCCCCGAAGGTCTAAGCCAAGGCCCCGCCCCTCACCCAGCTTGTCCAGCGCAAACTGCACCACGAGCTCGGGCACCTCGCGGGAGGCCATGTCCGCAGCGATGAAGAAGACCTTGGGAGCGCCCAGCTTCCGGCAGTTCCCTACCACCTGGGGGGCCAGAGCTGCCCGTGGGCCCCTCCACCCCGCAGGTTCCCTCCACCTGCCAGACGCGCGGGACCCCAGCCTGAAGCCCCCTCCCGTACTCTGAGCCTCCCTTTCAGTTCCCAGAGCTTTACAACTGGGGTCAACTGGCATCTGTTTCATTTGATCAGTCATCACGATTTAAAACTCAGGAGCTATCAAATAAATCTCAAGGTTTCTGGCCCACTTGAAATTCTGGAAGGTTTGTGTCCAAGAGCTGTGCATGTCCTCGGAACGCTGAGTTGCTAAGAAAAGTGCACCCACCCCCCTTTTCAGTTTGGGAGCCCTATCATCACAGCCTTTGGACATACCAATACTGCCATTTATTGGGGAACACTCCTGCTTTACACTCACTGTCTTACTGCATCCATCCGATACCATAGCCCACAAGAAGGGACTTTGTTTTCCCTTTTGCAAATGAGGACATTAAGGCTCACAGAGGTTAAGCAACTTGCCCAAGGTCACCTGGGAAGCCAGGGATCTTTGCAGGGATTCAAACCCAGACCTCATTTTCCACCACACTCGCACCCTCACCATTACACTGGAAATGGGGTGTCTCACCTTCTGCAGGAAAGCCTCAGTGTGGGCAGTGAGCACCAGGTGGGAGCCCAAGCGGGCATAGTGATAGGCCAGTTCCTCCCCAATGCCAGCACTGGCCCCTGTCAGCAGCACGCGGGCTCCCTGGAGGCTAGCTGGCAGTGAGCAGAGATGGTCAGCCTAGAGCAGTGGCTCTCAACCTTCCTAATGCCTCGACCCTTTAATACAGTTCCTCATGTTGTGGTGACCCCAATTTCATTGTTACAAATAGAACATAATTAAAGCATAGTGACTAATCACAAAAACAATATGTAATTATATATGTGTTTTCCGATGGTCTTAGGCGACCCCTGTGAAAGGGTCGTTCGGCCCCCAAAGGGGTCACGACCCACAGGTTGAGAACCGCTGGCCTAGAGGGTGCACAGAGCAGCTGGCCGGATTCCTCTCTGTCCCACCCCAGGCACTCACCTGGGTCAAAGTTGTCAGCCCAATAATAGGTGAAGAATAGGGCTCCCAGCCCAGTGAGGAGTAGCACCTTCATGGCCCTCCCTGGGTCTGCAGTGAGAGAGAAGGGTGGCCAGCATGGTCCTGGGCCACAGCCACACCTGTTTCCCCAACTGCTCCTTTGTTTGAAGAAGAGCATCTTGGCCCCTAGACTTGCGCCTCTTCTCCATCACAACCACCACCACTTGGTCCGGGTCACCATACAGGTCACCTGAACCACTCTACCAGTCTTTGGGGCTTTCTCCTTCCAGGCAACAGCAGACTCTCATCTTGCCTCCCTCTGCTGAAAATTCTCCCAGATTCATTTAGGACAAAAGTCACACTCCTTGATGACCAAAAAGGCCCTTCACGCACCAGCCCCTCTTGCTCACTCTGCTTTTTGTCACACCAGCCTCTTTGCTGTTCCTGAGAACCAGCCAGTCACCATCTGCCTCAGGGCCTTTGCACTGCCTGTTCCCTCTGCCCTAAATGCTCTTGGCAGATAATCCAGTGGCTTGCTTTTACTCCTTTCAAGTCTCAGCACAAAAATTACTTCTTCCCAGGGCACTTCCTGGACCTCTTTTTCTGAAGCACTTCCCTTACTTGCCCTTACCTCTAGAACTTCTATCTCCTTCTCAGAACTTAGCATCACCTGAAATCACCCTGATGATTTGTTTCATGTTCACTGTCACTCAATTCTCCTACCAGTGGTTCTCAGCCTTGGCTGCACATTAGAATCACTTGGGAATCTTTTTAAAATCCTGATTTCTGGGCCTCATCCTCCGGAAATTCTGTTTCTTTGTTATGGGGTGAGGCCACAACATTAGTAACAAAGAAACAGAATTTCTGGAGGATGAGGCCCAGAAATCAGGATTTTAAAAAGATTCCCAGGTGATTCTAATGTGCAGCCAAGGTTGAGAACCACTGTCCTAGGTTGTCAACCCCACGAGGGCAGAAGGAAACAGAAACCTACTTCTCTTGTTTTTTTTTTCACTGTTAGGTCTTCAGTGCCCCAAACTGTGTCAAGGACACAGCAGGTGCTCAATAGATACTAGATTAACACAGGAATGTGGGAGGCAAGAGCTGGGGGAGCCCCGAAAGACCACCTTGGAGACACCTAGGAGGAGTGGGAAGGTCCCCATGTCATGAGAGTTAAGGTATGAGAGTTCAGCTTTGGGAGCGATTTACTTGGCCCAGGGAAAAGGCAAAAGAAACAGGCTGGCTGCTTAAAGTTTGGGGAGTCATAGGTTTCCTTTGAAAGGGGCACAGGCTCATCACATCTTGGGGTTTCTATCCTCTGTACTCAGTGGGACAAAGAGGAGAGGGCACTTCTAGGACCCAGGATGCTGAGAGCTGGTGCGATTGGGGAGCTACCGTATCCCTAATCTCTAGATCCAGCCCTATGTCCTTTGCCCCACAACAAAGCTCCAGCGACCTCCCCTCCTCCCCTATCTTTACAGTCCGCTCCTCCCACCCTGCTTCAGCCAAGCAGCCAAAGGGATGTGTCAAAAGAAGTCTGGTGTGCCCCTTCCTGCTCTAAACCCTCCAAGGGCTCGCCACTGCTCCAGATGGAGAGCAAGCTCCTCACACACCCATAAGGCCCAGGGGGTCTGGCCTCTGCCCACCTGTCCATTCCCATCTTCTCCAACTCCTGTCTATGAGTCGTTCTCAGAAAAGTGAACTTGTCGCCCTTCCCGGTCACACCAGCAATTCTCTCAGCAGGGAACGCGCTCCCACCTCCTTCCCTTCCAGGGAAAGCCCGCGAAGCCCCTCAGCTCAACCCTCTTCCCACCCATGTAGGGATGGATGGATGGATGGATGGATGGATGGACGAACGGACGAAGCAGCTGGGCTTAGATGGAGGTGGAATAGGGGAACCGGATCCTCGCAGAATCCACTGGCCCTCTGACCTCGCCGGGCCTCAGTTTCCCCGCTGTACAAAAAGGGCGTGCGACCTGCTCCGAGCTCCCAACCGCTCACTCACCCTCTCCAGCCTGTTTCTTCCGCCGGGAACCGGGGCTGGTGGTCCCTGCCTGGGAGCCCAGCGCAGGCCGGTAGGGTCTACCCTTCCGGCGGGCGGCCCCCGACCAGGCCCCTCCCGTAGAGCCTGAGTCACGTGACTAAGCCTGCCTCTTTGCAAGGAGGCACCAGGCCATGAGGACTCTGCGACGCCCGGAGTTGCCAGGCAACGGCCTACCTGCTGGCTCTTTTGATCCCAGCCTCAGTCTCCAGAAGGAAAACACTTCCCACCATTCGAAACCGCTCACGTGACCTAGACCCACCTCTCTCGAACAATTCCGCTCTCGTGTTGCCGTGGCAACTGGCTTCTAGGGACACTCTTCTTAGGCCCTTGCCCTGAGTCACCCGCGCGGGCGCGGGAGGATCTCCCGGGCTCCGACATCTTCTTGGATTACCCTCAGGCCTCACTCCAGACACCCTACTCCTCTTTTCATTCACACCACCGAAACCGGACTACATTTCCCAGGAGCCTTGGCGGCTAGGCGAGCCCTCCGGCGCCTCACGAGGCAGTGCTGAACACATTTCCCAGACAGCTTTGCGGCGGCCCGGCCCATAAGATTATCTCTCCGCACACTTTTGCGGTGGGACCCAAACCTCTAGCATTTCTGAACGGTAACGAGACTCCGACTCCCGGAGGCCTTTGCGGCTGACAAGGGAAACTACACTTCCCAGAGGCCTCTGCCGCTTCGCTACCGGAAGCGGCGGGCAAGGCGACTGTCCTTGCGTGCGGAGTCGAGCGGCTATGGTGTCCCGAGTGTGGTCGTTGATGAGGTGCGTGTGGCGGGCGGGCCCCTAGCTCCCGAGAAAGTCCTCCCTGCGGACACCCTCTTCTGGTTCGCTCCCCATCTGCTCTTCGTTTCCCGTAGTGTCAGGTGCCCTATGGGGAAACTGAGTTTCAAGCAGAGAGGTGATTTCCGAGGTCGCGCGAGCCCTGGCTTTCGTATTCTCGGAATGAGATCTCTCCGAGTCTCCGTCGCCTTCTCTGTAAAGTGGGAGTGCCGCACGCCATTTATTGGGAGGTGAATGCGCGCCCAGAGCGGAGCTGGACATGCAGGAAGCGACCAGATACACTTGGAAAACCCTTGCGGGTTACTCGCGGAGGGTCCCTCCTCGGGACAGAAGGCAGACAGTCAAGGGACTGACGTGTCTTCACTGTTCCCTGCTCTGGGCGGAATCATTAGTGATCCACTGTCCCTTTGCGGGCCTCAGGTTATAAGTTGAATTGGCTGAGTACTCCTGCTTTGCACACTATAAATGGAGAACTGTGCCTAGCAGGGGTCAGGCATGCCTCTGAGTAGCAAGGTGCCCAGTCATTTCCCTATTAGCTGCCTGGCTTCCAGTATGTCACATTTTGGATTGTGGGGCTCCCTAGGGGGACTAACTCCTACTCCCATAGGCCTAGGGCCGCCACCCCCCCCCCCCTTCGACCCCCATACATCCCGTGGGTGGCCTGCAGTGTTCCCTAAGGTGCTGTCGTTCCCTTCCCTGCATTCAGGTTTCTCATCAAGGGGAGTGTGGCTGGGGGAGTGGTCTTCCTGGTGTACGACCAGGAGCTGCTGGGGCCCAGCCACAAGAGCCAGGCAGCCCTTCAGAGGGCGGAGGAGGTTGTCCCACCTGCCATGTACCAGTTCGGCCAGTACGTGTGTGAGCAGACGGGCCTGAAGATACCCCAGGTACCCCATGCCGGGAGTGAGGCTGAAGCTTGATGGGAATCAACTTTGGGGTGGCCTTCAGTCCCTGGTCCCTGCAACCTTGCTTGGTTCCTGCTCACTGGGGCATGCGCTGCTTTCCCTGCCTCAGGAGGGAGTTGGGGCTGCCAGGCCCTTCCTCTTTCATCAGCCCCTTCTTCCTTGTCTCTTCCCAGCTCCCAGCCCCTCCAAAGTTTAACTTTCACATCCGTGAGTCCTGGAATTCAGGTAGGCCCTGGTCCCTCTGCTTGGGGGTGTGGCCCCAGGTACCCTAGTCTAGCACCCCTGACCCTGCTTCCTGGTCATGCCTTTCCATCACTCCCCTTACTGCTGTGTGTGCCTCTTGCACATCTAAAAGGGAAGGGGTGGAGGCTCCAGGGAGGTAGGAGCAAGATGGGGCCTCTTTTTGAGAGCTTGGGCCACCACTGGAGCACATCAGGGTAGGTGGCCTCAGACAAGGTGAGGTCCTGTCCGTCTGTTTCCCGGTGTGGAACTGACAAAGTTGGAAGTGGCACCTCTAAGAGCATGGCCGAGTTGGGTGTCCCAAGGGGTTGGATTAAACCCTTTGGCTGTAGGTGGGGAGCCTGACCAGGCCTTGGGCCCTTCTTCCCTCCCCACAGGCATCATTACGGTGATGTCAGCCCTGTCGGTGGCCCCTTCCAAGGCCTGTGAATACACCAAGGAGGGCTGGGAATACCTGAAGGAGCGAATCAAGTAGCCTATCAGAGGCGGCTGCCTTCCCCAGTTGGAAATGGGCATGGGTGCCCTGGACCTCAAGCCTCTGGAATGGGACCCTAATCTAAGGGCAGCTCGCGGCCTTGCCAGCCCAATAAAGGACTTTGGAAGTGTTTCCTGACCTGTGTGCTTGCCCCAAGAACGTGGGGTGGCCCTGCTTTGAGTGTGTGTGCTTCTGGCTCCTGGGGGCTGCTCCCGGCCTGATCTTGGTACACACCTTTTCTGTCTGGTCCCTGACCACCAGGACCCTCACCCCACTTGGGAAGTGGGTACAGATAGGTGGCCCCAGTGCTCAGGGCACTGGGAAAGGGTTGAGAAAGTACTGAAGGCCAGACTGGGCTGAAGGGGCTGGGGTCTTAGCGGACTGAGCCTTGGGTAGGCAGTCTGGGAGCCAGAGCTCAGTAGAATGGGAAGAATTCATCTCTCCTGTGCCATCTACACTTCCTATCTTGCCTGGTCTCCAGTCTGGTAAGCACAGGCCTGGAGGTCATTGCCCTCCTGACTTCATCTAATGGAGGTGCTCTGCTCCCTTCAGAAGCCTTCCCTGGCATTCCTACCCACACTGGATCAGCTGTCTAGTGATCTGAACGTGTCTGCTGGGAGGTTGGGCTGTCTAGATGTTCCCAGCCACCCCACAGTTGAGAGCATCCCCTATTGTGGCACTAGGAAATCTGTGCCCCAGTCAGGGTAGGAGGTGGGCATAGACAGGAGCCAGAGGCTGATCCAGGAGCTGCCCTGAGGGCAAGAAGACCCTGGCTATGGTTCTCTGATCCAGCATGGAATTCTCTGTTCCCAAGAGTGCTGGGGTGTTTGTCCCTCAGTTTAGGGATAGAGCTCACCCAGGCCCTGATTCTGGAAGCAGCAGCAGGTATTACACGTGAGAAAAGTAGAGGCCAGGCATTTCCCCAGAGAAGCAATGCATCCGTTCACCTGATGACAGAGGTGTAGCTGATGATGGGTGGCCTGGCCTGCGGTGCTTGGGGACGTAAAACCCACAGTGACCTGTGCTACCATGGTCTCCATGGTGGGTCTCCCCTGTCCATTGTGGCAACTGGATGCTGCGCAGCTCCCTGTGCCGCCTCTGCACTTGCTGGGCCTCTACTGGGATGGGAGCAGGCCTAGGGTGAAGGCAGGATGGGTAAGGCCAGGGAGCATCCCTGATCCTTGGTGCTGCCCAAGAGGGAGCTGGTGCTGGCCATCTTGGAAGCAGGAGTGTGGCCCAGGTTCAGGACCCGCCCAGCCTGGCTCTCCACCCACTGAGCCCTTCCCCCAGTCCCATCGGCCCATTTTACAGATGGAGACACTTGTGCAGCCAGGTTAAAAGCCCAACCCTGTCCACCAGGAACCCAGATGGTTAACCTTAAACCCTTCCTGGGACACAGGATTTCCACATGCCTCACCCTGATGGGCCCATGAGGGATGTATACCCTGGCTGTGCCATATGCTCCACCAGGCTCCCTGAGTGCTCTCAATCCAGAGTCTCATTGATGGGCTGCCTCCTGCGTGCCTCACACTGGGGATGGAACCCGAAACCTGGGCATGTGCCCTGAGAATCAAACGGTGACCTGGTTCTTAGGACATCCAGTCACTGAGCCATGCGAGCTGGGCTCAACCCACTTTTATCATCACTATTTTATGAAGTGGGGAGAGACCTGCTAAGGCCACCCCACTGCACTCGAGCAATTGTTAAAAGCCCATTGTCAGTCCAACAAAAAGTGCAGAAAAGGAAACCAACCTTTGTAGGCCGGCAAGGGGCTGCCCTGAGGGCATGCTCGGCTCTCCTGGCACCCTCACCTCCAGGAGGCTGTGTCTTGCAGCTCCATGAACTTTGTGTGTGTGTGTGTGTGTGTGTGTATTGGGGCATGGGAGGGTCCCCTGAAACTGAACCCAAGCCCTGGTCTCTACAATCTCTATGATTTTAGTCACTGTCCACATGCTGGGTCCAGGATCAGCTGCTGGCTCCTGACTCCCATTGGCTACTCACATCCTCCATGTGGATCCAGCGCCAGCCCAGAGACCAGAGTGCCACTCTTGATCCCCTCCATTGCCTCACCTAGTCAAACCCCCAATCCCTCTTTGTCCACTTGTATCATTACCAGTGCCAAGACCACCTCCCCGATCTCCCCACCTCTAGGCTGGCCCCACCAATCTTTCCCAAAGTCAAGTCTGATCACGGCACTACCCTGCTCAGAAATACCATATGGCTCCCCACTGCCCTCCCTGTGAGCCCAGATACCTCCCAAGGACCCTCTTACTCCTCTAGTTGCCCACAACTCATGGGCCCCCTCAACCAGCCCACCACCCTTCCTCCTGGCTGACTCCCCTAACCTATTCCTTCTCAGACTGAGTTGAGGGCCCACTCTGGGCTTCCTTGGCACCCTGTGGGTGCCCCATCACAGCGCCTACCACCTCAGGGCAGGGCTTCCTCACCTCAGCATCACTGATATTCAAGGTCAGATGAGTCTTTGGGGGGCCATCCTGGGCACTGTAGATAATGAGCAGCATCTCTGCCTCCATCCCCAAATGCCAGTAGCACCCCTTATTTCCCAGTCATGACAACCACATGTCTCCAGGTGCTGCCAAATGTCCTCTGGGGACATAATCACACTAGTTTGAGAACTGCCTTCGGGGTTGGTATGAATACCCTGTGGCTGTCTCAGTTCTGGAGTCAGAACCTAACCAGGGTCTCACTGGGCTAAAATACAGATGGTAGCAGGCCTGGCTCCTGGAGGCTCCAGAATCCATATCCTGGCCTTTTCCAACTTCTAGAGGCTGCTGCATTGCTTGGTCCTTGGGTCCTTTTTCCATCTTCACAGCCAGAAGTCTTCCTCTCTCACATCTGTCTCCCCTGCTGCCCTATTTTTTTCCTAAGGACCTGTATGATGATATTGGACCTACTTGGATAACCCAGGGTCACCTGCCATCTCAAGTTCCTTAATTTTTAAAATCTGACCTGACAAGTCCCATTTGCCACCAGAGTTCACTTTGCCCGCCCCGTCCCTGTCCTGGTGGGACTGTGCTAAGATGGTGAGTTCTGCTAAACCCGAGGTGACGGAAAGACATGAGCCTCAAGGATCCCGTGTGTGCTGGGCTCAGGGTTTCCATGTCACCCGCTGAGAACAACGTCCAGCTGATGCTCTGTTCCCAGAGCTGTATGCTGGGCAAAGGCTGAGCCCCTTTATGCTGTCCAACGTTGGGCCACATGGGCTGCAGCAGCCTGGTCTTCTTCCCATAGGTGCCTGAGGGCCAAACCAGCTTTTATTAAATCTGGAAGTACAAGGTGAGACACCCACACAGACAAACCACTGTGTGTTTCTCTGCGAACAGTTTTGTGGTCAACAGGGATCCTAGCGGACCAGAACTTGGGAGCTGCTCTGTGGCCTTCAGAGAATTAGGCTATTTATATCTGGGGTGGAGGGAAGATGGGATGGGGGATGGGGAAGAGGGGGAATAGGTGGGAAGGAGAGGGGGAAAGTCCCACAATGGTACCTCTTAAAGCAACCCAGTAGCTGCATTTTACAGTTAAGCAAACGGAGACTCAGAAATGAAGGAACTTGCTCCAAGGCAGGAGGTAAAGGCAGAACTTGGTCCCCTTGTCACAGATCAGTGGTTGGTCTCTGGCAGAGGAACAGTGAGCCCATTGGTTGAGCAGAGGGGCTATGACTCCTTGAAGCCGAGGGTGGGAGATAACTACCAAGCTGCAAATCCCTGGATTACAGACAGGAATGTTTGGTCCCTGAACACACCTGCCTCACACTGTCCAGCCATAAGGTCTCCTTCCTTCTCATTCCTGACAACACCCTTTCCACACTCAGGCCCTGCCCCTCCCCCAGCAGAGTTCATCACTTCCTGGTATTAAACAGCTCCTCTTCCTTCAGCTCCCCACTTTGTTGTTAACGTGCCCTCACCCCACTAGGATGTAGTTCCACTCATGTGAGGTCCCTAGAGGAGTTAGATCCATGAGTCAAAGTAGATGATGGGTGCTGGGGGAGAGGGAAGATAAGTTAGTTTACTGCATTCCTTTGGGGAAATAAGTTCTGAAGATGACTGGTGATGGTTTACACAGTATGAATTAAATGCCACCGAACAGTGCACATAACAATAGTTAAAATAGTAAATTTCATATTACATATATTTTACCATACATACAGAAAATAACAGCCTGTTCAGCAAGGACTACAGGATTGCTGGAAACCCCCACAGTCCCTGAAAGCTGCCCCTTTCAGCCCTCCTTCCCTAAAGGAAAAGCTGTGCTGAGTATAATTTCGTTTTAAAGAGAAGTAAAAATAGAGGACGCTTTAAATAAAGGATATGTGGACAGAAACACATTTATTACAAAAAAAAACCAAAAAACAAATTCACATTGTATCGAGCTACAATATGGCAGCAGATAAAAAAAAAAAAGATATTGTACACAGTTTAAGATAACTCCTAAAAGAACATACTCTGGTTGCCACATGACGGAACGCAGGATTCCAAGCACTTAGTAGCGGCGAGTGAAGCGGGCGTCGTTGGGCCGGCTGCCCCGGCTCTGGCCAGCAAATCCACCTTGCATTCCGCCACGCGGGATCACGTGGCCCCGAGAGGCCCCAGCTGGGGTAAAGCTGCCACGCCTGGAACAAATGCAGATGCTCATATGTTCGGAGTCTGTTTAATGGGATGTGTTGGGTGCCTGTGGGTCACATGCTCTTCGAAACCCTCTTCCCTCAAGCAGCAGCACCATGGGACAAACCCCGCACCATTTTAGGACACAGCACACTAGAGGAGTGTAATTGGGAAGACTTGAATGTTTCTAACACTTCCCCAAGGCAAGCCAACATATGAAGAGGAGACTAGTACAGAGAGACCAACAGAATGCCTTACCCTGACATCCTTCCCCTGTTCATTATGTGACCTCGCCCAGAGTGACCAGACATGCTTCTCTCACCACCTGGAAGACAAGAGACACTTTTCACAAGGTGCTTCCAAGCACAGAATGTAGTTTAGAAGACAATGACAAGGATTCTGGTAAGTCCAGTCCCTTTCTTGAGCCACCCAAACAAATCTCACAGGTCTCCAGTGCATGTACAAGCACCTGAACACCACAGGGCTGTCCTCACTAAGTTACGGGGGGGAGGAGTTACCAACACCCACATCACTCTTCTGTGGCAACCCTCACTCCCCATCCCACCCCCACCCAGTCATTAAGGGGCTTCTCCTCTACCAAGCCCTGGGTAGGGAGAACAGAGAAAGCACTCCTGCTCTCAGAGGAGGTGGATTAGCAATGATTAGTGAAGAGCAGGTGTTGCTTAAGCTTTCTAGATGCTTCTCTTCCGACAGATGTGTCCCTGAGAGCCAGTTCTTACCTTGCCACCTCTTGTGGTCCCTGTCTATCATGCCTCCATCAGTAGCGCCCTGCCATGCACGGTCATCCTCAATTCTTCGGCCATGGTCCCCCCAGTCACGTCTGTCCCTTGGAAAGAGACATCTCTGATTTGGATTGCCCACATCTCTGCCTCTCAGAACAGCAACAGCAGTGGGCTCTGGAGCTTGGGGTTAGCATTCTGTGTTCCCAGCCCCCCATCCCTTCAGGCAGTGGGGACTGAGGGAAACAGGACTGGCTCTGGCCCCATGCTACTCAAAGAGCTCCAAGGTGGCCTGAGCCATGGTTGGTGCACTGAGCCACAGAGCCAGTGCTCATCACATCCCCCAAGATGGTGGGTCCTCAGCCTGTCAGCTATATGTGAGGCCCACAAGGGAACTGTGGAGTGTGAGACACAAACCTGGGTGGAGGAGGCAGTCCCCGGCCCTCGCTCATCCTCTTGTCAGAGCCATATCCACCCCACCTGTCACGGGAGTCCCGTCCATGGCGCTCTGGTCCTCCGTGGCGTTCAGGATAATGCTGAATGTTAAAGAGCCAAAATGAAAAGGCTTTAGTATTATCCCTGCATCCCAAGGCCTTTGGGGCAACAAGGTAATAAAGACAGCTACTCAGAAGCACTTGCACACCCGAGTCAATGTTGCCAGGCACGCTGCACACTGCCTTATGCCACACATGCCATGCATCTCACAGGACACAGCTGCATCCCTGAAGTCTGCTCATGGCCTGGTGACGAACAGGTGCTCAAGAGTCAAGGAAAGGGCTGAGACTCACCCTAATCAGAAGGCAGAGAATTGAGGGACTGAGGGACGGAGGGGTGCTGGGACCTAGCAACTGCTCCGTGCCAAGAATGGGCCCCTGTGCTAACAATATAATCAACACCCCAGAGAACCACAGCGTGGAAGGGCCACGAGGGATCCTTTAACACAACTCACTACTGGGCCTGGCATCATGTCCCTGATTTGCCACCGGCTCTGCACCATCAAGCGCTGGGCTGGTGCAGCCCCAGTAGTGCCTGGCCCCATTTTTCCTGCTCCATGAAGGAGGGATGAGAGAAGCCGCCCCTGTCTGCTAGAGGAACACCCATGGATGACTTTTAGGGACCAGGGGAGGTGGCTTTCCCTCCTTGACTTGCTGTTCCACAAACCCAACTAGTGACCTTGGGAGCTTTTGCCCCAGGATCACATTTGACATGAGAGGGAACTAGAAGAGAGCCCTGGTCATGAAGCCCCTCAGATGCTTGCTCCAGCAGTCCAGTCACTGCCCACAGCCATGCTCACCTACTCCTTAAGCTGGGAGCCCTCCAAGGCCATGCGCTTACATGGAGCCCTAACTGCCACCTGGTCTCTTATCCCTAAATGTGCACGGACACCTCCACAAGAGAAGATAAGGGGGTTAATTTTACTAGGTGGACAAAATAGAGCATTGTCCCTTCAAGGGGCAAAATAAAAGACCAAAGTGCTGTCAAATGAAAGAAGAGCTGTTTAAAATGGACCCCTGAAATAACACTTCTACAAAAGAAATTATAGCTCATGATTTACAGAGCTTCATCTGATTGTGGACAAAGAACAAGATTTAAGAAAGAATTAATTTTTACATGTAGCCTTCTATTTAAAGACACATAAGTGGACAGAGGAGCATTTAATACAGGGAAGCAGGAATGTTCAACTTAGCAAGACCTGGTTCTTTAAAGCCCATTTCCACCTCTTCCTGGCATTTTAAAGTTTAACCAACATTCTTTTGTCCAACTAACTAGTCCATCTAACAGTTCAACAAAGCCCCGAGGGTCTGTGCTCTTTCCCCTTTCTGATGTCATATGTCATCATCTGCCATTTGGGGCAGCCCTAAAAACAACAAACCCTTTCAGTTTTTCATTGTCTGATGTCAGATGAAAACCCGCTAGCAATAACAGCTATGTGTGAGGGACTATGCAAACACTTTCTGTGCACATGTGGTCTCATTTATTCAACTACCTATGTGGTAGAATAACCTCATTTCACAGCTCGAGAATTAGGCTCGGCAAAAGTGGTGGCACCAGGCATGACCCTGGTTCTGATTCTAGAGCCTTAACAGTTTAACCACTGTGTTCAACTTTTCCACCAAAGAAAAGCCGTAAGACTGGGTCTAGATTTGGCTGCATGTAAGATTTATCTCCAAGAGTAGAGAAAACAAGACTCAGGCGAGGATCACAGAATTACTCCTGAGGTGGCAGAGGAACCCCTCAATATACCAAGGAACCAAGCCATCCCCAGCCACGTTCTTAGGAAATGATGGAACAGGCCGGGAAAGATGCTGGAGTCAGGGAAAGGACGGACTCATAGGACACCAATTCTGCTGAACACCACCCTGACCACAGCCTTCTCTCAATCCCTTTGATTTTCCATGTAAACCACTCAAGAGTTGGGGCTCCTTGGGAAATTTCTCAATCCACATGTAAGATAGGAAAGTAAGTAGAAAACTAAGCTTATTTCCTAAGGTGTTAATTCTGCAAAGAGAATGAGTGTGGACCAGAGACTGAGATGCTATCTGAGGCTCAGCAGGGAAGGCTGACCAGTGACCACAGGTACACATGGACTCCACAATAAAGAAGTGTGGCATCTGTCAGCTGTGTGGGTCACAAGGTACATTCCTACAGAGCCTTTCAGACTCACCCAAGGCTTTCTAGCATTTTACTACCAGTGCATTTAGTTACTAGGCGTGTAGAACTTCAGGTCAAATCCAAAAAGGGCTTCAGAAAACCTGCTGAGATTTCCAAACAAGACGAAGCACAATTCAAATTGTCATCCCACAAACAGTGAAGGGCTGCCCTTCTCCTTTACTCATTCTTGCACTAATGCAAAAGGGGGGAGGAGGGAAGGCTGGCAGAAGAACAAAAGAGAACTCAATGGGAAAACTTTGCCTACAAGCATAGCTTCTGATTTACCTGTCCTTCTCTTTCTCCCATCATTGACCTTGAACCTTCTCTCCTGAAAGAGATAATTGAAAAGAAACCATAAGGAGATATTGGTTAGACCACCAAATAGAAAACATCTCCTAAATTGAATCCAGTATTCCACACACACACTGTTCAAATGGATTCACGGAACCTAAAAGGGCCAACCTCACTTCCTCGCTGGTAAGAATGACCCAGGACAAATGTCATCTGCATTAAGTAGGCAGGATGATGAGGGCCCAGCTAACCTGTCTACTGAGTGGTCAGGGTAGCGGCCCCGGTCTCTGTGGTCAAAGTCATGGAAGCGGTCGTGGCGGCTGAAGTCAGAATGGTAACGCTCATCCAGGGCAGCTCTCTTGGCTTCTGGCCAATAGGCATCATCTCGCCTGGAATGGGAAGTAAGAAAGGGCTGAGTGCATTTCCCCCCTCCAAACAGACCATCTTGTGGGAACTGGTGAACTTACCCCCCGAGACTACCCCTGATCCCACCACTTAACTTGATCAACAGAGTATTCTTTGCTGTACAAGCTGAGAGAGACTGGAGGGGTGACATAAGATCTGACTGAAAGCCCTGGCTGGTGTTGTTCAGTGGTTAGAATGTTGGCCTGCGCACTGAAGGGGGTCACAGGTTCGATACCTGGTCAAGGCATGTATCTGGGTTATAGGTTTGATCCCCGACTTCTGTTGGGGTGTGTGTAGGCGGCAACCAATCGATGTGTCTCTCTCACATAGATGTCTCTTTCTCTCTCTGTTTCCCCTCCGCCCCCACCTTCCCTCCATTCCACTCTAAAAATCAATGGAAAAAATATCCTCAGATGAGGATTAACAATCAAACAAAAAATCTGACTGAATGACTGTTCTATTTTGTTCAACACATCTGCTTCCCCTAGGTAGAAAAGCTTTGGTTTGCCTGTAAGAGGTGATCACACATACTCATCTGCAGAATGGCCACCATGAGGGTTGGCCTTAATCTATCAAGACAGCAAGCAAGAGGTGTTATCGGGGCTCTATAGTGTACTTCTGTGTCTTTTACCATGACACTGACTTGATCCATTAAAGACATCCAGTGGGGAGGACTTTTAGAAGTACGTGAAGTGATGTTTGAAAACATTTGAGTAGAACAGACTCCCAGCATCAGTATTCTGCACAAAGGCATTAAAAAGTCCTAAAGGAGTCTAAAGACCTCTTATAGAAGTCATGTTGTATGTTATACAGAGACCTCTTTTAGCTCATGAGGTAGAAAAAAGATAAATGCATTTGGAAACACTCAGAAAGGATCACTGCTGGGATTATCACCCAGAGTACTCACAGCAGGGTTCAAATTTAGTCCTCTTTTTCACTCGTGGTTAGCACTTTCATCTCACATAACACATCAATATTTTTTATAAGTTTTATTATTTGAATAAGCAAAAACAAATTACTGCAATGATTACAAAGCCTGGAAGAGGCCCAGAGCAGGTGCTCTTTGGTCTGCCTGCCTGCCCAGCTGCTCTGGGTACCTGAACTTCCTCCTCCCTCCTCAGAATCTGTTCTGGGACTGGAAGATAGTGACTTCATCAGCACAATTTTGCCCAACTATTTCCTCACTGGACCTCAGACCATTGCAAATTCCCTGACCAAGTACAGGACATTGAACTGAACTGTAGCAAGTGCTTCCTTTTAAATAAGAATCCCAAGTGAACAGGACTTTGGGGACCATAACAAAAACCTTAATGTCATAGGCCACCCGAGGGCAGCTGGTGGGAGCAGCTCGCTTACCGGCCATCCACGTCATAGGGCCTCCGCACAGTGGGCCGCCGTTCCTGCTCATAGCGCAGCTCCTGCTGACGCCACAGCTCCTCCCGCTCTCGGTGAATGCGCTCTTGCTCCTTCCTGCGCTCGTGCTCCACGTGCATGCGCTCGCGCTCTAGCCGCTCCCGCTCCATGCGCTCCCGCTCCAGGCGGTGCCGATGGAAGGCCAGCCTCTCCCGGGCATACTCCAGCTGCTCCCGCTCCTCCTGCTCCCACAGTGCCTGCATGCGCTGCTCCCGCTCACTGCGCTCACGCAACCTGTGGGCAGAGAGCAACAGCTGCAGGGGACCAAAGGCCGCAGTGCTGGTGGCACCACCCAGTGGGGTGAGCTTTACGAATGCAGAGCAACCATGGAGCACTGCAGAAATGCAGCTTGCAGGGCTGGGTCTAGACCTGCAGGATTGCTGCTCTAGCAGGAAGAACAAGGAGGAAGCCCACTGCATCCAAAAAAGCAACAAGAGCCCGGAAACTAAAGCATTCGCTCTGCTTCCGGATGAATCCAAGACCAGCCAGGTTACAGCAAAGGGGTATGTATAGGGTCTGTAATATAAACTAAGATCTTTCTGGAGTTCAACATCTGATTCTGTAAAATTACCCATTAAAAATAAGAACAGCCCTAGCTGGTTTGGCTCAATGGATAGAGCGTTGGCCTGCAGAGTGAAGGGTCCCAGGTTTGATTCCAGTAAAGGGCACATGCCTGGGTTGCAGGCTCAATCCCCAGTAGGGGGCATGCAGGAGGCAGCCGATCAATGATTCTCTCTCATCATTGATATTTCTCTCTCTTCTCCCTTCCTCTCTCTGAAATCAATAAAAATATTTATAAAAAAAAACCAGAACATATTTCCTCATAGCTAAGTCTGATTTAGAACCTTTGCTCTCTAAATCATGAACTTCAATTAGTCACTGTGAAACCAAGCTAGTGCAGTAGAATCAAATCATTAGATGCTGTTATATAAATTCAGGTGAATTTAACCAGCAAGGGCCTGTAACAGCTGAGTGGTGAAGTGCCAATGAGGCCATGCAGGGCCCCTGCCCCATGCTGGAGAGCCTTTCTTCTGGTAGTGATACTGATCATACTGTAGCACGTTTCCTCCAGTCTCTGTATACCTGCGAGCCTGTCTCATTTCCATCTTTTGCTATGCATTTAGTGACACATATTTGTACTAACAGAAATGCATAATCTTGCCTTGTTTTGTGTCTGCATTTTGGACAAAATGGCAGCTTCCCTGGTTCACGTAACACATCAGAATCCTCCCATATCTCCATCTCTATAGATTTCAGGAAGAAGCCCTTGGAGTAGGCAGGTTTACATAACCAGCAACCAGAGGCAGACCTCATGGTTGTTCCCAAACTCACAAAAAGGGACACCATATCCCCATTTTCCTGTGCATAAGTTCCTCCAGGGAGCTGTGAAGAGGTCGCATTACTGTGCCCAGACATCAGGATTCCGAAGTGTGCCTATGCAGAACGTCTCCCTAGGCTGTCTGCCATGTCCACTCCCACCTCTACCAATACCCGTCTCCCATACTATAATTCAAACGGTGGATCAAATTAAACTGGTGAATAAAAAGCTGGTCTCACTGCTGTTTTCATCTCAATTTCCCTGATCCCCAGTGAGGCTGAACCACTTTCTATAGGTTTCATGGGCACTTGTATATTGTCTTTGATCCATTTTACTACCAGGTTATTTTTTTCCTTACTACATTTCAAATGACCTTTATTCCCACCTGTCATATGTCTTTTGACTTTCTCTTCCGTCTTTCATTATAGAAAGGTTAAAGTTATGATTTAGTCTACTTCTACCTCATGAGTTTTCAGGCCTTCTAAAGCTAAAATTCACAAATATATTTACTTTCATATTATATGAATTAATTTATTTTTATGCTTGTGTTCAGTCATCAGTTCATTTTAACTATTTAGTCAAGGATGTTGGTGAGTTGGGAGACCCAAAGGGACTATCCAAAGAACAAATGACCTGAAGTCATTTTTGGGAGAGTCCATCACTAGTGGGAAATGTCATTTTTATCAGGTTAATTTCCACATGTACATGGTTTGGTTCTACTTATTTGCCAATTACATCATGAAAAGGAAAATTTCCTTTGCCCAATGCCTTTCCCTCTTAGGCATAAAGTTCTTTGTGGGACATTAAAACAAAACAGTACACCCTGTTCCCTTTCCTCTCTCTTACTTTCCTAGACTTTTTTTTTAACTAACAATTATTTTTTAAACTACAGCTTAAAAGTTCTTTCTTGATAAGGAAAATTAACTGTCACTCAATGTGGTCAATACTATTTGTGTTTAGTTTTTAAAAAATTATAAAAATATTTTTTTCTTGGCTTATTTAAGGATGAGGACATCTCAGCTCACTCAATATCTGTCCCACCATTTTTCCATTTTCATAGCTTCCGGAGCAAATTGGTGTTAACTAGCATGACTGCACCGAGAAGCATTCCATATCCTGCCACTGGTCCCTTCCATAATCTTCAGGAAGAGATGAGCCTATTTACATGAAAAATAATTTGAAAAAGCCGTAAGTTGATAGTCACAGCAAGGCAACTGAAAACCAAAGGGGAAAACAGGTTTAAAGAAGTTCTCTACCCACAGGGGGCTTTGAAACAGCCTTGAACACAGTTATAACCAGTTCAGGGCAGCAATCAACCAGTAAACATTTCTAGAACCTGACTCACCTGCGGGACTCGGAGTCTCTTGATTTCCGAGGCTCTTTGACTCTATCAAAGGACACAACAGACCGCTTCTCTCTGCTGGCTGATTTGCGATCCTGGCTCTTAGAAACCTGGAACATTAAGAAGTTGAGGTAGAAATGACAACAGGAACAATCATGTCCAGGTCCAAACATCCAACATGAAGATAAGAAATGAAGATTAACGTTTAATGAGACAATTAAGTAACAACTCATTCCCTCCTAAGGAACTTCATATTTTGCTTATAATTCAAAATCACAGATCTTCATCACCATTTAATACTAATATATAGGTGATGCAAAAGTAGGTTTAGTTTTTCGTATGGAATACAATACAATAATTAATAAATAACAAAAGACCAAAGAAGTATTTTTAATACTTTGTCTTTTGCATCCACAATAAATTCCTTAATCTTGTAGTTTTCATTCATAATTTAATGTGCGGTGAGTTTCCAACGGAGGCCCCTTTTGGTATGTTGGAAGATTCCTTATTTGTGCCAACTGCATTCTTTTTGAGCTCTACCTATCTTAGCCCTGGAATCCACACTTTTATCTTGCCATTTTCTAAACATTTTTTTTTAAAAAATGTATTTTTATTAATTTCAGAGAGGAAGGGAGAGGGAGAAAGAAAAACATCAATAAGAGAATCATTGATCGCCCGCCACCTGCATGCCCCACATTGCCACACTGGGATTGAGCCAGCAACCCAAGCACATGCCCTGACCGGGAATCGAACCATGAGCTCCTGGTTCATAGGTTGACGCTCAACCACTGAGCCATGCCAGCCGGGCCTAAACATTTTTAATAAAGTAAGGATAAAGGCTATAATATATTAAAATATTTGCAAAAACACATACAGATTTCCATAATAAAAATGTTGACTTGCAACTGATGCACACTACTCAGTAGCTGGAATGCTTTGTCATCTGTGCAGCACAGGGGCTAACACAACTGGCCTGAGGGTGGAATCTGGGATCTTGATGTTCAAAGTGTCCCCAGTGGACAGTTAACTGGTATGGGTGGTTCACTATGCCTGAACTGTGCAAACTATAGTTACACAGAACACCTGCTTTCCTTCTGGGAGTTGGGAATTTGATACATGCTAAGTAGCCAGCCCCCAATAAAAATCTTGCCTGAGACTCTAATGGGCTTCTGTGGGCAGAAGCATCACCCGTGGGTTGCTGCATTTTCACTGCTCTATGAGCCTTCATGGGAGGGAGAGAATACAAAGGAGCCCATAAAGGGTTCCCCCCAAACTCTGCCTGTCTTTCCTATGATCCACTGTGTATCCTCACTGCATCATTGTAGCCAATCTTAGCTGGAAGTACATGTATATGCTCAGTCCACGAGTCCCTCTAGTGCAGTGATGGCGAACCTATGACACGCAAACTCATTTTTTTGGTTGATTTTTCTTTGTTAAATGGAATTTAAATAAATAAAATAAATATCAAAAATATGTCTTTGTTTTACTATGGTTGCAAATATAAAAAAAATTTCTATATGTGACACGGCACCAGAGTTAAGTTAGGGTTTTTCAAAATGCTGGCACGCCGAGCTCAAAAGGTTCGCTATCACTGCTCTAGTGAATCACTAAATGTGGATGATCTTGGAGACCCACATCTATCAAAGTTATAAGGCTGTCAAAAGTTGAATGTATGAATATCAACACTGTCCGTGACCCTAATGGAAGGGAGACTGAAGCGGTAAGAACCTAACAACACAGGTACTTTGTGGATTCTGTGTTCTGCAGAGCATCTGCAAGGAGACAGTACAGGATGAAGCTAAGGTGGCTGGAGGTTGGCTGGGTCACATGTAGATTAGGAATGCACGATGAAGTACTGCCGAAACTTTCAGGGCAGGCAATGAAAATGGACTGATAAACACTGGCTCAGGGAAAAGGTCAACCACTCCCATGTTTGAATCTTAAAATTAGCTTTAGAAAAAAAGAGCAACAATTCTCATCAGAACAAGTTAAGTATAAAGGAAAGCATTTACTTATTTATTCAGAATTTATTGGGGAAAAAGAGTTTATTGAAGCCAAACTGATAGCATGTGCCAGAAAGCAAGATCTCAAATGCTCCTGAAGAAAAGCTTTTAAGCTTTCTTTCTTTTTTTTTTAGTTCAAGGTATCTACATTTTGAAAAGGTAGACAACCTTTCTCAAATTAACCTCAGTAATTCCCTAAAACACACTTAGAAATGTAAATGGAAGAAATGTCAAATGAAAACAACTGCTAAATACCCTAGTTAGAAAATCAATACTCACTCTCTCTTTGGATCCCGATGTTTTGACACTAATAACAGGCACACCTTTAGATTTATCCATTACTACAGTCCGCTCGGTTCCTCGACTACCTACAGGAAGAAAAGTGTCAGTGTTAAGGTAAGAAACAAGAAACATCCAAATGAGAAAAAAATACTGAACTCTATAGAAAATAAATCTAGTTTGTGTTGCCAACTGATGACAGCAAACCAACAAACCACAACGGCCAGGAGCAGAACTCAAAGTGAGCTCTCACATATCGATTAGGCGGTAGCTACCTGATTTTGTGGTTCGAGATCGCTCTGAAGGGCCAGGTTTCTGATCATCTGGATCTTTACTCTTTTCTCCACTTCCATCTTCACCCTTTTTAGCATCATCCTTTCTGTCAGCTTTATCTTCCCTTTTAAGGTTTGCTGATCTAGGTAAGACCCCAAAACAAAGAAGTGTGTTAGATCAGGTATTCTGATAAACAAACCAGCCACTATCAGGTTCCTGCAATGAGCACCAAGTGCCAAGAAGGAGGATGCCTCAACTGGCATCAACAAGACAACAAAGAACAAGGAGCCCATCCGGCTTTCCCCAAGTGCCCCTGGATTAAGGAAATCCAGCACAATGACTGGTGCGGGAACCCCCTTACAACAAATGGGAAAAACAAATGGGGTCAGGGGCCTCGTGCTCTTCCCTATCTGTGGAGAACTTGAAGGATGTGAAACAAAGAAAAGAATCGTCTTGGCCACAATTTCCTTAGAGAAAAGAGTAATACCTGTCACTGGTGCTGGACTTCTCTTTTTTCCCTTCACCGTCTCTTTTGTCAGACGTTTTCTTTCCAGCAGGCTCATTTTTTGCCTGAAAAATAGAAGCAAATTGAAGTATTACCTTATTGTTTCCTCAAATAGTCAAAGTCCTGGAAGAAAACGGCCCTTTACCTTTTCCACTGAGATCATCTTCCCGTGGAGCTCAGTCTTGTGCAGGTGGTTAATGCATTTTGTGGCCTCTTCCGCTGTGGACATTGTCACAAAGCCGTAGCAGCGAGCTCCAGGACTCCGAGCATTTGTCACAACCTTGGCACCCACCACCTCAAAGGAAAAGCACAGAAATAGGTCTCGGACACGAAACCCTCTCACACAGTCATTACGGTTCATGCTGCTTTCCTCTGATCTACTTCAAGTCAGGCCTCCTCCCTGGTATGAGGGAGGAGAAAACCCTGTCACCAGGTGCCTGAAAAGAGGCAGATGACTGGGGAAGATAATGCTACCGTCTTGCAGTTAACTACTCCAAGGACCTCCTCCACTTATGGCTGTTTCTCCAGGGAACCAGGATGGCAGTGTGGCAAAAGCAAGATGAAGACAGAGTTCTGCAAATATTCCTTTAACATTATCTCAAACTTGTAAAAAAATTACTCTGAATATATAGTCATAGATGTGAGCAGCAAATAGAAACACATATCTATATAGATGGCTATCGACATAAGAACAAGTTTGCAACGAGCACTCTGGAAGGCAGAATCCATCTCACTAGGGATAACAACAAGTTCATTAAGATGTTTGAGGCACTAAAGGTACACCCTCACATACTGAGTAATTCCTCCAAACATTTCAGCAAGCTGATGTCTGGCACCAGGTTCAGGAGAAGCCCCATAGGAGCCAGTATTCATCCTTATTTTCCACAAGGAATCTTAGCCCCAAAGGAAGGTTTCAGAGTGGTCTAATTCTGTGTTCAATGAAACCTACAATGCTCCCAAGAAGCCATGGGCCTCAGAGTGACATTTCCCTGTTGAGAGCACCCTTCTCCTCTGAGGGCCACAGAGGAAAGAGGAAAGGGCTCAACCTGGATTACTGAGGCCCAGGGAGTCGTTAGCTATTTCTATCACCATGGCATGTTTAATTTTCCCTTTGTTAGCTCTTGGACATCAATAACCAAGGTAAATACTGTTGGTTTGATCTCTTATAACTTGCTCAAGCCTTAAGGTGAACAAGGGTCTGCACCAAGTTTTACTTTGGCTTGCCCCAAAAGCTGACTCTAAGAGACAAGGAGCCCTGGATGTAATTTATTTGGGAGGTGAGTCCAGGAGGCACAGGGAGAAGGTGAGAAAAAAGGGAGGAGAGCCAACACAAGTGCCCTAACAAACAAGGAGCTGTAGTGGGAACCTGGGGGGGGGAGGCTGGTGCATGAGCGTCTATCAATCACTGCCATCACCAAGAGCTGACGAGGGAGGGAAGAGGGGCTGGGGGTGCAGAGGGGAAGTGGCCATAAATGCTCCAGCTGTGGGTAAAAACGGTATGGGTGCCCTGGTCAGGGTGTGTGCAAGAGGCAACACATGTGTTTCCCTCACATCAGTATTTCTTTCTGTCTCTCCCTCTCCTTTCCACTCTCTCTGAAAACCAATGGAAAAACTATCCTTGGCCCTAGCTGGTTTGGCTCAGTGGATAGAGCATGGGCCTGTGGACTGAAGGGTCTCCGGTTCAATTCCAGTCAAGGGCACATGCTTGGGTTGCGGGCTTGATCCCCAGTAGGGGGTATGCAGGAGGCAGCCGATCAATGATTCTTTTCTCTTATCATTGATGTTTCTATCTCTCACTCTCCCTTCCTCTCTGAAATTAGTAAAAATATATTTAAAAAAAAAAAAATCCCGTGACGAGGATTAAAAAAAATTTTAAAAAATCAGGCCGCAGATGAGGGCCACAAGCAGGGCACCCATAGCTCTGCTATAGCTACATACCATCTTCAGGAGGCAGCAATGGAAGGTCCCCCGGTGTACAGATGATACAGAAGTTCCCATAAGGGAAGTGACATGAACCTCGCCACACAACTGTGAGTGGCAGAGCTGGAACCTGTCACTGGTCAAGATGCAAAGGCCTTGTATGTGTACAGCCTCAATTGTGCTGTCCTGCAGTTACCACTGTCTCACAGACGTTCTGACAGCATCTCTCCGCCCTGCCCTTTGCTACAGCCCCTGCAGCCCTTCTTGGGTTTAAGTCCTGAAGCCTTAAAAAAGTGGTAGCTTGGGGGCAGAGGATGAGGGAGAAGAAATAGAAAGTAGAGGAGGGTCTGGGAGCTTCTACAGATCTGTCACCTCCACACACAGAGGGGTAGGTGATCCTGCACAGGCCATGAGCTGTGAGCTCAAAGAACAGCAAAGTGTCAAAGTGGTCACTGAGAGGACAGTAATCTGCATAGAAAGGCTATAGTAAATTTGGCTTAAAGACATCTTCTCCAGAAAACCCTTGGTCTTACCTTTCCATATTTGCTGAAAAGATTCTTCAAATCTGTAGCTCTGGTGGTGGAAGAAAGTCCACTAACCCAGAAATTTCTACAACTGCTACGACCTATTTAAAAAAACACAGAGTCTGGTCAAGAATATTATTCATACAGTATCCTGAGTCTTAGTCATAGAAACCAAATATGTCCCCCCCACTTGTCCAAGATACCAGCAGCCCCCAAAGCCCACTGTCCTTACACAACTGGAGTGACACACTAGGTCCAACAGGACCGGCAGCAATGCCCCTTACAACAGCAAGCCAGGAGCTGTTCGATGAGAGAGAAACATCGATCAGCTGCCTCCTGCACGCCCCCTACTGCGGATGTGCCTGCAACCAAGGTACATGCCCTTGACCGGAATCGAACCTGGAACCCTTTCAGTCTGCAGGCTGATGCTCTATCCACTGAGCCAAACCGGTCAGGCTATGGTTCTTTTTATAACACTGATTAAGAATGAATCTGGACAGTAAAATTTCAGTTAAAGAAAAAAATTGTAATAAAGAGGTAAGGTGCTGATAAAGGTGAAATACCAGGTAACCCCAAGATATCTGACACCAGATCATTTTTTTCCATTTCCAAAGTGCCCTCATGAAAACAAGGGCCTGCATGACATTAATACATCAACCCGGAAGAACTGGCCTGCTCCCCACTACCCAGGACATGCAGAGTGAAGAGCAGGAGTGGAAAAAGGCCCCATGTAAGACACACAGACACATCTGGCTGAGAAATGCACTAATATACCACAGTAGTGCTGAGGCCACACACACTGCAAGAGACTGCCATAGAGATCTACCTTTCTCCTCTTTGGAAAGCCGTTTTGTATCCGAGTCATCTTCGACAGAACTAGAGAGAAAAGAGAATGTCACTCCAGGAGGAAGAAGCAGAGAGGAAACCAACTCAAAATGATAAAATATGTGCTGAGGTTGCATACCTACCCGAAATTTAGTTCTGAAAAAAATGGTACCCCGACAAACTTGTATTGGAAATCTGACCTAACCATAAGATTTCACACCCATAGGAGTTAATTAATTCGGCTGGGCTAAAGATAATTAGGAAGAATTAAAGAAAACAACCATGACAGGTTGAGAAAAGAAAAAAGATTATATAATCAGTTTAAAATAAACAAAGAGAAATAAAACATTCTTTAGAGGTAAACTACAGTTTCATCAGTCTGGCTGGCCAATTGTAGAAAAAACAGCTTATGTGTGTCATTAAACGACCAATGAAAAGGAGATAGCGTCTGGTCTAAAACTGAGAAAAAACAAACCTCATTTTCTGATCAGCGCCCTCACTGGCTGAGGACTCTTTAGGAGCCGGAGGGACTTCATTACAAGCTTCAAAAGCAAACTTCTTCACGTCTTCTTTGCTATCTCTGGGGTCTGGGCTTGAGGCTTCCTGGGGCGCTTCTGCGACCTCCTCGCTAGAGGCTTCTGCGCGCTCTGAGGCTTTACTACTCTGCTCAACTGGCTCCTCTAGCCCTACAGGCTCACAGTCCATCCTCTCGTCACCGCCTGTCTGCTCCACGGGCTCCCTTTTCACTACCGCTAACAGGGTGTCTGCCTCGCTCCACTGAGCTTGTGCTGTTGACTCGCTGGCCAAATCTAAATCACCCTCCTCCGGGTGGCCGCTGCCAAAAAGGTCCTCTTCCTCCGCAAGCTTTCTGTCTGGCCCCACGCTACTTGTATCCTGTGCAAATGGCTGCTCCAGCTCGGAACCTTCTTCTTTTACTGGCTCAGATTTACAAGTTTCCCCCAAAATGTCGAGTATTTTCTCATTTTCTACGGATTTAACAGGAATAGAATGGCACAAGGTTTAATTACCAGGGAAATAAAGCAATCACAAATGTGGAACTGGCACGGCTGCCACACTAACACGAAGAGAACTGCTAGCTACACAGAGATTGGAAAACCCGCGGGTACACATGTTACACTGGTTACACTACCTGCACTCCAACCGACTGCTAGAGTAAGCTGCCACGCTACATGGAAGAGAAAAGCATCCCAGAGATTTAACCCCAAAACCTTCTGGCTGATTCTTGACAGTCTTCATTCTGTCGTCGTTTACATATGACTCTTCCAAATTTAGCTTCCAAAGTCCAAGTTGCTTAACTGAATGTATGACCATTCACTGAACAGCTCAATTTCCAAATTTCTTTGAATTTCTTTTAACAGAACAGTCCAACATGACAATCAGAATCTCTTCCATCGGTGCTCTGAGATATTTGAAGTCCAGAAAGTGAATAGTATTTGTTTGGAATTCTCATGAAGAAACTCTTTCCTCTTCTGGAATCCAGTTATGTCTCAATGTTTTAAAATTTATCTCCCTACCTCTACCTGCACTGCCTGAATTAAAAACCATAAAGTTAAGGTACTGTCCAATATCACAAGATCTGTTTTGTGGGGTACAGCAGTATTAGCTCGAGAGGCATGCAAACTCTTTCTACATGCATTTAAGTGCCATTTATATTTAAAAAGGCATGAGGTCTCATAAATACATTTTGCAAAATGAGAAATTAGCCACTTTCACAGATCTGGTGATATGGCTGGGTTTCCAATCTCTATGATCCTGGTATGTTCTGGATCGTAAACTTTTAGAACAATGTACACTATATTATGGCAACTTTTTAAAATTTAAGAATTCAAATTAGAGAAGGTGGAAAACTAGAATGATTCCAAACCCCCGCTGATAAATTTTTCATTGAACAGTACCTGGCTCCAAGGATGGCTCTTCAATTTCCTGCGAAAAAAACAAAAATAAATAAAATAATATAAAAAAATGAGATTTGTGCTAGCTAGCAATAACAAAAGACAAATTTTTAAAACACAGACTAGAGCACTCACAAATGCAACAGGGGGAGAACTTGCTCGTGAAGGAAGAGCCCACACAGCTGGGATTCCAGCTCCTTCCTCTGGGCCCAAACCCCACATTTCAGGCTACTACTCTCAAGGAACCTGGTATCTGGTTTTCATTTTTTGCTGTTTCCCCAGTGCCTGGCAACATTTCACTTTTCATGGTGATGAAATGATCACATGCCTATCTGTCCCTCTAGGCCAGCGGTTCTCAACCTGTGGGTTGAGACCATCGGAAAACACATATAGCATATCAGATATTTTACATTACGATGCATAACAGCAGCAAAATTACAGTTATGAAGTAGCAACGAAAATAATTTTATGGTTGGGGGTCACCACAACATTAGGAAGGTTGAGAACCACTGCTCTAGGCAGAACTCTTAAGTGCAAGGAGAGCAGTGTTTTCATTTTTCTACTTTTAGTGTCTAACAGAATGCCTGACACATAGCAAACAATCAGGTTTTAATTAATATAGCATTAGTTTAGAATATTCACAAGACTGAGGGAATACAGGCACATGTCATTAAACTGTTATTTCGCAGTTGTACCAAAGCTACCCCCTTGTCATCTGAGAGCTCTCCAGGATTACATGTATCTCCTACAATCAAGGTCCCCACTGGGCCAGGCCCAATTCCCAAATATCCTTCCAACCCTTCTCAGGAAGCCCTGTCAATTTAGACCATTGTTATCCCTCACCTACAATAGCCTCTGGTTTACTATTCCCATCTCCATCTGTCTGCACTTTTGCCACCATGGTGAGCACATGTCCCTCTGTGGCCTAAGGGCTTTAGCAATGGCCCCTCACACCACCTCCCTCCCCAACAGGCCCACTTGTACCCTGACCTCACTCCCAGCCAAGTCTTACATTTAGGTCAGAGGTCCTCAGCTCATAGAAAGGTCATCCTGAATGACTTCAAAGGCTACCCCACTAATGAAGGGCCTTTCTCTCAATATGTAATCCCTGTTCCCTACCTCTGTACAAGGTACATTATTCTAGAATTCCAGTCAATACTGATGAGCACTGACTAGGTTCCAGGTGCAAATTTAAACACCTTATGCATACATATATTAATCATTAGACAGTACTAGCAGGTTGGAACTATTATCTTTCTTCTTAGATTAGGAGACTGGCACAGAGTGAACGATAAACATGCTCAAGAACACAGCACACAGAGCCCAGATCTGAGCAAAGGCTGTGTACCAGTCAGGCCAATTCCCAATGCTCTGTTTACGTGTGTACTCCACGCATGGAAGACAGGCCCTGTGAGGATGGAGACCAGTCTTTCTTCTCACCATCGCATCACAGGTACTTCACATATACCCCATAAATGGTTGTGGATGGTCTGTATCTTCCCCTGGGAATAGACCTGCCATTCTAGGAAGCCCTAGGAAATTGTTCACTTTATTCATAGTTTCATTTAACTATTAATCAATTTGTTTTTAACATAATATATGCCACTTTGGGAAGTAAAACTCTATGAGCAAAACAAAGGATCACTCCAGGCAGAACAATTCTCTCCTTAACTTTTTCCAAAGAAAAAATGAATATATTCCTATTTGTCTCTGGAAAGGGTTATATGCTTTCCATTTTAACTTGGGAGTCTTCGACCTAGAACAAAAACTGAATGAAACAACCAGACCTGGCTCTTCCTTTCTTTTCATAGGGATAAATAAAATGCATCTCTTCACAGTTGGAGAGACATCAGCCCTAAAGTGAGCTGGGTTCCACGAAGTTTTATTTTTTGAGGTTTGCATACTTCTTGAGTCTGGGGTTCTACTTAACCAGTGACAACCAACCTTGCCCTGCCTGGCAGAGCAAATGGAGATCTTATCTGAAAGGTGTTCTAATTAAGCAGCACAGTTGACATAAAAAAAAAAACACAAAAAACAAAACAATAAAAACAATCAAGGACTGAAATAAGCTAATTGTATTTTCATTTCCTTAGAACAGTTTCTATTAAAGCCCTAGCCGGCTTGGCTCAGTGGATAGAGCGTTGGCCTGCAAACTGAAGGTCACGGGTTTGATTCCGGTCATGGGCATATGCCTGGGTCGCAGGCTCGATCCCCAGTAGTGGGTATGCAGGAGGCAACTGATCAATGATTCTCTCTCATCACTGTTGTTTCCATCTTTCTCTCCCTTCCTCTCTGAAATCAATAAAAATATATTAAAAACAAACAAACAAAACCAAAAAAGTTTCTATTAAAAATTAGACGCAAGCCCTAAACGGTTTGGCATAGTGGATAGAGCGTCGGCCTGTGGACTGAAGGGTCCCAGGCTCGATTCTGGTCAGGGGCATGTACCTTGGTTGCGGGCACATCTCCAGTGGTGGGTGTGCAGGAGGCGGCTGATCGATGTTTCTTTCTCATTGATGTTTCTGACTCTCTCTCTCTCTCTCTCTCTCTTCCTCTCTGTAAAAAATCAATAAAATATATTAAAAAAAAAAAAATTAGACGCAAGCCCTGGCCCGCGCAAGGAAGGGCTGTGCGTTCAATTTCCAGTGAAGTGCATGTACCTGGGTTACATGTTCGATCCCTGGTCTTGGTTGGGGCGTGTACGGGAGGCAACCAGTTGATGTGTCTCTCACATCAATGTTTCTTTCTCTCTGCACCCCGCCCCCTCTAAAAAAAAAAAAATCAATGGAAAAAATATCCTTGGGTGAGGATTAAAAAAAATTAAAAATTAGACCCAAGTAAGTTTATTCCAACAATTTACATACATATAAGTCTGGCAGAAACATTAAAAGGAAACTCAAGACCCAAATTTATTGAAATCATACCTGTAAGTTAGTCCACATCTCATTTGTTCTCATCTAAGGTTTAATATTTACACAGATGGTAATGAAACAGTCAAGATGATATAGTAATCAAAAAAATTCCTTCATTTTCCATAAGAAATTCTCCCAAAGGCAGAAACAGAAGTCTTGGAATCCACCTGTCCCAGCTGTGATGTCTGTGCTCTGCCCACCCTACCCCCCCTGCATCCTAGTCTGGACCCCATCAATCTTCCTTAGGGAGGGAGCCCCCCTTGCTATTTGACCTAACAGTCTTTCTGCAGAGGATGCCCTCAGCAATCAAATCAGCAAAAAACTTTCCCAAATATGCCCTCTCAGTTACAGGGAAGCCATAGTAATTGAGTGGAAAGTCAAGATGGTGAGTCCTTTGCAACAGGTACATTGTATTTAGGGGAAGGGGAGCAAAACCCTCTCTGATGGTTTTGCTGACAAAGTAGGCAATGTTAACAAACCTTGAATGACTTTTCCTTGGGAGTGCAACACAATGTCTGCAGTGGTTTCCAGAAACTGTAGTATAACCACTGATGCTATAATTATTGAGAGACACAACAATTTACCTGTAATATAGTGAAGTCAGATGATGAAGTATCTAAGTTATTTATAGTTTCTCTGTCCTCTAGCTGTAAAATAAACAGAGAAGACAGTTTAATACATCAATAAGATAACATAATGGAACATCTATACAGTAACAAGTAACAGCCATGAAAAATCACTTATGACAACGCTGGCCGGTGGGTGTGGCTCAGATGGTTGGGGGCTGTCCCGTGTACTGAAAGTTTGATTACCAGTCAGGGTGCATAACTGGGTAGTGGGCTCAATCCTTGGTAAGGAGCTTGCAGGAAGCAGCCAATCAATGTTTCCCTATCAGATTGATGGTTCTCTCTCTTTCTCCCTCCCCCTTCCTCTCTAAAAATTAATTTTTAAAAATCACCTGACAAAATTCTGAATACAGTGCAGAAATCAAAAGAGCAATATAGTGTAATTCTGCTGGGGGTTTGGAACCTATCCCCAAAAATAAGCGGGGCTACTGTAGTACATAGACTTTACAAGTAGATTGGAGCATGAGGTTTAGAGACTACTCTTCAAGGAACAATGCCCAGAATCAGGCGTTGGAATGGATTCTTGGACTTCAGTGGCCACCACCACCTTCCCGAAACCTGGATGCCAATGACAATGGGACTGTTGCCCCTGAGGTGGCAACTGCCCCAAATGGAATGGCATCTCTGAGAACCCTGCCTCTTACCATTATCAACTCCCAAATCAGAGTATGGGGACAGAAGCAGAGGACTGGAAAAGCCCCAATGATCCATCACTTTGTCTGTATACCTAGCAAATTTATCCTCATAAAAGTAAAATAATCTAATAAATGGTACCAAGACAACATGGTGCATGAGTTAAGTACATGGACTCTGGAATTGGTATGGTCTTAATTCTTATCCTCTTATGATCCTGGAGATAGTTCTTTACTTTTTAAATCCCCAATTTCTTCAATTAAAAATGGGCATAATCCCACCTATTTGTCATACTGTTGTTTTAAAAAACAGCCCAGGCCAGCGTGACTCAGTGGTTAGAGTTGGCCATGCCTGAAAGGGTCTCAGGTTTGATTGCAGGTCCTATCCTGGCCCTATCAGGGCAAGTGAGGGAGGCAACTAATCAATGTCTCTCTCCCCTCCTGCCCTCCCTTCCTTTCTCTCTAAAAAAAAAAATGGGAAAAATATCCTCAGGTGAGGATTAACATCTCCCCCAGGTCCCCCACCAATTAAAGAACATTAATGCCTAATGCCTGGCAGACAGGCCTTCAATAATGTCCCTGAAACGTTTAATGTAGCATTCTGCAAATGTACAGCATATACTCCACTTCTCATCTATTATGACATTTGAGGAATTGATGCACTCAGGGCACATTCTAGAGCAGTGGTTCTCAACCTTCCTAATGCCGTGACCCTTTAATACAGTTCCTCATGTTGTGGTGACTCCCAATTTCATTGTTACAAATTGAACATAATTAAAGCATAGTGATTAATCACAAAAACAATACGTAATTATATATGTGTTTTCTGATGGTCTTAGGCAACCCCTCTGAAAGGGTCGTTCGACCGCCAAAGGGGTCACGACCTGCAGGTTGAGAACCACTGTTCTAGAGACTACCGAGTACCTACAGCATGTTCTTGAAGCTGCTCAGGAAGCTCTTTCATTTCTCCCTCTAGCTCTCTACTATCAGACAGAGTCTCTGGGAGATTATCAGCATCATCATCTTCCACACAATCTGCAACACTTCCATTATCGATTTCTGCTTCGTCTAACACGCTGATATCCATCATGTCAATGTCCTGCAAGTTTTCCAAACTGGCTTCAACATCCTCCTGTGACATAACAAAACATAGCCATCAACAAATGAACTGCTACTGGTCTATCACTGAGCAGAATCACTGTCAATGCTACACATACCTGTCCATCCCCAGAATTTTCCTCCAGCCCATTATCTTCCACACCTTCTTCTTCTGGTTTACGTCCTGAAGAGATAATTGTCAAAGCAGGAGATTAATAACATGCATTTTTCCAGAAGCAATACATTTTTTTTGAAATATTTTTATTGATTTCAGAGAAGGGAGAGGGAAAGAGAGAGAAACATCAATGATGAGAGAGAATCATTGATTGGCTGCCTCCTGCACACCACCTACTGGGGATCAAGCCCACAACTTGGGCATATGCCCTTGACCAGAACTGAACCTGGGACCCTGCAGGCTGATGCTCTATCCACTGAGCCAAACCAGCTAGGGCCAGAAGAAATAATTTTTGACTTTTATAGGCCCTCAGCACTACAGAAATGGCCACCTAAAACACCTGTGGCACTTGCTAAACTGAAGGACACTGTGTAATCCAGGAATGGTAAGGCTATTCTGGACAAGGCAGACCCTCTACCACCTAAGCAGACGAGATTCTATTCTTATCCAGTGGCTGTGGATGTGGAAGTATGAGGAGCTGGAAACTGGTTCTTAGTAAGGTGAAAGCAGGCCAGACCTTTCTCAGGCCTGGCTTTCTTATCAAGTGGCTTTGGTTATAGGGAGAATAGTATCTTATACAAATGTGCTGCTTTTTACCTAAGAAACATGAAGCATGTTTTCCCACAGTAACAATGACATAAAGCAAAACATAAATAAGCAGGAGAAAGCCTGGCCAACGTGGCTCAGTGGCTGAGCGTCAACCTATGAACCAAGAGGTCATGGCTCAATTCCCGGTCAGGGCATACGCCTGGGTTGCGGGCTTGATCCCCAGTGTGGGGCATGCAGGAGGCAGCTGATCAATGATTCTCTATTATCATTGATGTTTCTATCTCTCCCTCCCTTCATCTCTGAAATCAATAAAAAATATATATATTTAAAGAAAATAAAAGCCAGTAATAACTACTACCTAGAGTTAGCTCTCATGTTGTCACACACTGACGTACATAGATGTCTTCCCATATTTTGCTATGGATAGACTAGATGTATTATGTTTATAAAAATGGCACTGTACTGTCATTTTATAATCTTTTCACTTAACATGTTGTGAACATATGGCCATATTCTTTTGTTGTTGTTGTTAATCCTCACCTGAGGATATTTTTTCCATTGATTTTTTTCCCTAGAGAGTAGAAGGAAAGGAGAAAGGGAAGAGTGGAAGAAAGGAGAGAGGGCGAGAAAGAGTGAGAAATATCAATGTAAAACACATCAATTGGTTGCCTCCTGAACACACCCCTACTGGAGCCAGGGATCAAACCTACAACCTTTCAGTGTATGGGCTGAGGCTCTAACCATCAAACCACATGGGCCAGGAAGTATTTCCATATTCTTTTTTTAAAAAAATATATTTTATTGACTTTTTTACAGAGAGAAATAGAGAGTTAGAAACATTGATGAGAGAGAAACATCAATCAGCTGCCTTCTGCACACCTCCTACTGGGGATGTGCCTGCAACCAAGGCACATGCCCTTGACCAGAATCGAACCTAGGACCTCTCAGTCCACAGGCCGATTCTCTATCCACTGAGCCAAACCATGAAGATACCATCATTTATCTAATACCTATGGCTGGAAATTTTAAAAAACGCTTATAAAGACGAATACTCTGGTGATTTTTTTTTTGGCATC